ACCGAGGCTCCTTCCATGGTTTGGCTATCGTGGACATTGCTGCTATAAACGTCCGGGTGCAGGTGTCCCGGCGTTTCATTGCATCTGTTTAAGCAGCACTTCTCTACACAGATGAAATCCTAGATATTCATAAAATAAACTAAATATATGGAGAATTCAGTTACTCAGAGGAACAGTATTTTCTGACTTTGTTGTCACCATTTCTGGAACTCCACTGCTCCTCACTGATTAATGGAACTTCATGAAGTTTTATGTGTTACTCTTCCAAAATCACAGCAACCCCAGTGTACATTTCCTCATGAGTTGTGTACTACCTGCCCGCTGTGGCTCTCTACAGCTTTTGCCTTGTGATATTAATACTTTCAGCCTATAAAATGAGTGATATGCCAGATATTCTCTAAGTCTTTCTCTCAAAGTTTTCACCTCGTTTAAAATATTCAAAATTTGTATTGCTTTCTTGCATATTTTCTTTACATTCCTTCCTTGTTCTTTTGGACAAGTCTAGGGAATTATCTAAAGTGCATCAAATTATCTTAAACTTTAATTAAATATTCCTTATTTATTTAAAAAATGTATTGAAGCAAAAAATGTATTGAGGAATAATTTCCATTTAGTAATCTCACTTTTAAGAATATGTCTTTATTTGGGGGCACCTGGGTGGCTGGCTCAGCCTCGGCTCAGGTCATGATCCCAGGGTCCAGGGATCAAGCCCCACATCAGGCTCACCACAGGGAGCCTTCTTCTCCCTTTGCCTATGTCTCTGCCTCTGTGTGTCTCATGAATAAAGAAATAAAAATATTTTTTAAAAATAATATGTCTATTAATTTTGAAATATATGTATACAATTTTGGGGTCACTATCACCATCAAAATGTGAAGTATTTGGGGTACCTGGGTGGTTCAGTTGGTGAAGCATCTACTTTCAGCCCAGATTATGATCCCAGGGTCCTGGGGTCAGACTCCCTGCTCCATGGGGAGTCTGCTTCTCTCTCTCTCCTTCTGCCCCACACCTCTGTTCATACTCTTCCTCTCTCAAATAAATAGATAGATAGATAGATAGATAGATAGATAGATAGATAGATAGATAGATATGGGATTCCCCGGGTGGCTCAGCGGTTTAGCGCCACCTTTAGCCCAGGGCCTGATCTTGGAGACCCAGGATCGAGTCCCACATCAGGCTCCCTGCATGGAGCCTGCTTCTCCCTCTGCCTGTGTGTGTGTCTCTCATGAATAAATAAATAAATAAAATCTTAAAAAAAAAGATGTGAAATTTTTGCATCCCTCCAAAATGTTCCTTTGTGGCATCAAATTCCTCTCCCAAGCCCCAGACTTAGGAACCACTGACTTATTCTTTTAGAATGTCAAATAAATAGAATCATTTAATGTGTGGTCTTTTTTTTTCAGGTATTTTGCATAATTTTGAGATTTAGTCATGTTGTTCTTTGTCTCTTCTTTTTATATAAAGCCAAGAAATATTTTATTTTCTGTGTGTGCTCCAATTTGTTCATTCATTAACCAGTTCATGGACAGCATTTCCAAGTTTTTGGCTACTGTCCATAAAACTGCCCTGAATATTTCAGCAGATTATAGGAGACATTTTCACTTATCTTGTGTAAATATGTAGGAGGAGATTGCTGTGTCCTGTAGCATGTGTCTACTTACCTATGTAGGAAACCACCAAATTGTTTTCTAAAATGGCTGTACCAGTTTGCACTCTCACCAATAATGCCTGGGAGTTCTGGTTGCTATGCATCCTCATCAGTGCTTTGTATTGTCAGTCTTTTTAATTTTAGCAATTCTAGCAGGTGTATAATTATTGTTATAGTTTTAAGTGGCATTGCCAGAGTGACTAATGATATTGAGCATATGACATATGATATTCATATGTTCATTGGTCATTCAAGATCTTTGGTTACTTGATCAAATCCTTTGCCCATATACAATTCTTTTCCTAACATGATTTGTAAGGATTTGTTCAGTTAACATCCTGGATGCTAGTCCTTTATCAGATGTGTATTTTGCAAATAGTTTCTCTCAATCAGTGGTTTATCTCTTTACTATTTTAGTAGTGTCTTTTGAAGAAAAAATGTTTTTAATCTTGATGTAATCCAAAATTCAGTTTTTAAGAAGATTTTATTTATTTGAGAGACAGATAGCAAGAGAGAGTAGAGTAGGAGAGGGGCAGAGAGAGAAACAGACTCCTCGCTGATCAGGAAGTGTGACATGGGGTTCAATCCTAGGACCCTAGGATCATGACCTGAGCCAGAGGTAGATGCTTAAGCCACTGAGCCACCCAGGTTCCCCCAAAATTCATTTTTTCTTTTATGTGTTCTTTCTGTGTACTAATTGCAGCTTGTCCAACCCAAGATTGCATTGCTTTGAATTATGCTTTCTTCTAGATATTTTGTGGTTTTAGTAATTACATTAAGGTCTAGACCCATTTTTGATTTAATATTTATATATGGTCTGAAGTAAATATTTGGTATTACTTCTAAACATTTTATAACCAAGCGAATCACTTTGGGGGCATACCAACATACATTTACACAAAAGTTTATAATAATTTCATAGTAACCAAGAACTGGAAATAATTCAGATGACAGTCATCTATGAGGTGCTTTGTGCTGATAGTCTTTTGGTGTTAAGGAACAGTATTTGAACCTGAGGCAAACAACACATTGAAGAGATTCTAACGGTGGGATGGCCTCAGTAACTAGATGGGGTTTTGGGTTGTTGGAATAATAATAAAAAAAAGTTACAATGTAGAATGCAAAGGAGAAATAATAAAATATACATCTGGTGACCATACTGATGGATTGTGACATAAGGTGGCTAGATGCTTACTAATCCCATTTTCTCTGTCAGGACACCTGGGCAGACAGCATGTCTCAGCTGTCCTTACAGTTATTTTAGGACCACATGAATGAGCTGATGAATGGTCATTCATCAACTGTGGTCAAATGGTCAACTGAATATAGGCAGAAGTGATGGTGGAATTGTGCCTTAATTGTTCTCACATTTGTGCACAATTTTGAGGATGTCCTCAGTGGTTCTAGATTTCACACCTCCCCCAAGACTTAGTATTCCTTTGGGGGCTGCAAGTTCAGGTGATGGGCTGATGGTGACAGTGTTTTGATAAGAACAGGGCATGATGATCTAAAACCTCTGAGCTTCATGATCACATATCTGTACCTGTGCCTACCGGCTGTAAGTGTCAGAAGGGCAGGACCATGAGTGGAGATGAAGGTCCTGGTTACTGTGATGTAGATGACAGGTCATGTCACAAACTTGAGACAGCTCCACTCTGCACTTAGCCCTGACAGCAGCTAATCATAATGCTGCCAAGATCTGAATCTTGTGGCCATGCATGTGTTGGGCATCGTGCCTCCCTGTGGTTTAAGAAACTCTCCTATCACACTGTTTAAGAAATAACTAAATAACCCAAATACTTCAAACCTGTGCTTTTAGGTGAAATTTTAATTATTTATTTTTAAAGATTTTATTTATTTATTCATGAGAGACACACAGAGAGAAGCAGAGACATAGGCAGAGGATGAGGCAGGCTCCATGCAGGAAGCCAGATGTGGGACTCAATCTGGGACTACCGGATCATGCCCTGAGCCAAAGGCAGATGCTCAACCGCTGAGCCACCCAGGCATCCCTAGGTGAAATTTTTAATCAATACCTGTGAGGCGACTTTCTGGTCAAGGAGTCATCATTACTCAGCCATCAGAAAGGATGAATACCTACCATTTACTTTGATGTGGATAGAACTGGAGGGTATTATGCTGAGTGAAGTAAGTCAATCGGAGAAAGACAATTATCAAAATAGTTTCACTCACATGTGGAATATAAGAAATAGTGAAAGGGAGCATAAGGGAGGGAGGGGAAACTGGAAAAATCAGAGGAAGGCAAACCATGAGATTCTCAATTCTGGCAAACAAACTAAGGGTTCAGAAGGGGAGGGGGTTGTGGGATGGGGTAACTGGGTGACATAGGAGGGCACATGATGAGATGAGCACTGGGTGTAATATGTTGGCAAAATGAATTTAGATAACATTTTTTAAAAAGAAGTCACTGTATTTTGTTTTGATAAATAATGCCCAAGTCTCCTGCAGAGGCAACCCTGACTTCGCCTCCCCCAGCACATCATGTTAATGCTAACAGCAGTGCTAATACTGGTTACTTACTGAGAAGTAACCACTTAGCTTCCGTTCTAGTCACAGTAGAGCCCTGGTTCCGAGACCTGGGAGCAGCGGCAGGATTCCTTACAATAGGCTGAGCTCCCCTCCGCAGTTGCCGGTTCACCGGGTGGGGGCGAGCCGCAGAGGTCCCCAGGTCCCCAGGTCCCGCGACGCCTAGCTTCTGCGGGTGAAGCCTAGGCTCTCACCCACAGGACTGGGAATCTAGTTCCCGGCGCGATCCAGCTGACCTTGGCCGTTCCCATGGAGACGGGAACTGACGCAAGTGCTTGGGCGCCGGCGAGCGTACCTGACACTACCCAGAAGGAGGTGCTATGAGCTTCCGCCCGATAGACTGGCAGCCGACCGCCCGGGAGGGGCGTTTCCCGCGGGGGCGGGACTACCGGCCTCACCGCAGGAGCACATCCCTGGGTGAGCCGCGGCTGGTTGGGCGGGGAACACGTGGAGTGGAGCTCCCGGGCCGCTCTGGCCGCGCGGGGCGGGAGAGTGACGTGACGGGGACCGCCTCCGTGCCCTGGGCGAGCCGTGACACCCTGGCGTCGGCCCCATCTCCTCGAGACTCTGCTCGGCTGTGGGACGGGCGCCACGCGTACCTTCTCCCGGGTCCGCGAAGGCGGCTGTCTGGGTCTTGTGGGCACCGTACACCATCTTCTAGCGAGGCTCGGAGCGGGGCAGGAAGCCGCAGGCGACACTCGGTACCCATTCTGGTCGCCCGCCTCTCGGGGCCCATTCAGCCCACCCAAACCCCTAGCTGTGGCAGGGGCGGCAGCACGGATGAATCCGGCGCAGGTGAGTGGAGGGTCAGCCAGCATTCCCCACCCCCACTCTTCCGCCCACCGTCTCACCAGGATGGTCACCGTCCTCTTTATGGTCGGTGGTGGTGGGACTGTGCTATCTCCCCTTTTCTCCGTCGTGGAGTCCCTGGGGGAAGTGACTTCTGCCCCAGGATCAGATACTATATGAGTATGTTCCCGTTGGGGGCGATCCTGGAATAACACTCGGAAGAGTGAGCCAGTCACGGGCACAGGCACGTACCAACACTTGGAGGTGAGATTGAGTTGGTAGTCACCAGGGTCTCCGTTGCGTCTTATGGAGCAGCCCGTCTTATGGAGCAGCCCGGACGCTCGGCCTCCTCAAAGTTTGGAGCTGAGGATAGAAGTGGTTTGACACAGATCTCACTCACTCTCCTTCCTCTGGCTACAGAGTAGCAACTATGGAAGTGAGGGAGGAGGTAGGAAGACTTGGGAGGAATGTGAACTGAGAGGTTTAAGGTCCTAGTACTGGAGCACACAAACCACAAGTTTGGTTGTGTCTGGGAGGCATGGACACCAGGAGAACTGGCCAGCCGGAGAGTGGTGCCCTCATGGCCGACCCATAGCTTTCACAGTATCTATCTGCCCACTTGCCTGACTCTGGGCTGCACTTATTGATCAGAGAGACATGAGGAGAGAGCAGGCACTAGTGGTGCCAAGGCCTGATGTCTCTGAGCTGGGGCTGGGAGGAGAGGGACCAGAGGTGGTTGTGTGAGTGGATAGACTGGGGATTCCTGTTGCCTGTGGCCTCACCTTTCCCCCATCATGATAGGGCTGTGTAACCTTTGAGGATGTGTTCGTGTACTTCTCCCGGGAAGAGTGGGAGCTCCTTGAGGAAGCTCAGAGACTCCTGTACCGTGATGTGATGCTGGAGAACTTTGCACTCGTGTCCTCACTGGGTAAGGCCCTGCTTTAGTTATCTGTTGCTACATGGCAAATTATCCCAAAGCTCAGTGGGATGAAGATAAGCACTTATTATCTTACAGTTTGTGTGGGTCGAGAATCAGGCATATCTTATTTGGGTACCTCTAGTTCAAGGTCTTTCATAATCTTGCTGGCAAGCTGTTCAAGTTTGCTGTCTCATCTGAAGGCTCAACTGGAGATGAGTCCCCTTTCAAGGTTATGCACATGAACAGGAAGCTGTTGGGCTAACTAGTCATTTTCTTGCTAGCTTTTGGGCAGAGCCCTCCCTCAGTTTCTTGCCATGTTGTCTTCTCCATAAGCAGATTGCATCAAGGCAGCTGATCTTCACAAGATTGAGCAAGAGACAGCATCCAGCACAGAGGCTGACATTTTTGCAATTTATTCTCAGAAGTGACATCCTATCATTTTTGCCATATTCTGCTCATTAAAAAGGAGTGCTTATGTTTAGCCCACATTCAGCTGGCAGGACTTACCAAGGACATGGATACCAGGGGATAGGTTTGATTCCTAATTTCCTAGGCTGAGTTTTGTTCTTCCCTTTTCTCCCAAAGGGCTGCTCATTGTCTGACAGTACTGTCATGGAATGACTCCTTTCCTTAGCTTCCTGGAGTAGGTGGTGTGGGTCCCTGGGCTGGGCAGGGGGCACTGGCTCCTCTTCTACAGCAGCCCCAACCTCTCCTATCCCAAAGCTTTAAAATGAAGGATTTGGGGGTCAGGAGTCTTGCAGTTTGCCCAACAGATCCCAGAGGCCTGGCCACACCTTGACCGGGTGACTCTCCAAAACCCTGGTCTCTGCCCACATTCTTACCTCTTCTTCTAATTGACATTTCCTGGGGCCTGACTGTTACAGGAATTGCAGACACTGAGGTGACCATTACTTGTGAAGAACAGCAAGCTGTTCTTGCAAGACCCTTTTCCAAGATTCTTTTTTAAATATTTAATTTCCTCCTCTGTGGAGAGGGTTGCCCAGGGGTGCCTGCTGCCAGCCACTCAGCAGCTCTACTTTCCCCTTAGGACTTGCTGTTTCCAGGTCCCATGTAGTTACCCAAATGGAGCCCGAGGGGAGCCCAGGGTGCCTGAGAAGGTAGACACAGCTCCAGCTCCAGCAAAGAAGACCTGAAGGAGACTGGGCCCTGGTGAGTAGATGGGATTGGTCACATCAGGGCTGGCTTCACATTATACCAGCAACCCGTGCTGTATCTCCTAGTGTTATGCTATCAGTACCGGTGGCTGACCTCATCCCACTTTTCCTTCCCCATCTGGATGCTTTACCCACTGTCATTTCTACTGTGATCTCAGTTGCCTGTTAGTCCTCCCCACCCCTTCTCATCTCTGCATCTTTCCTTCTCTTGGTACTCTGCGGCATTGGGTTTCATTTAACATGTCGTGAGTTGTACTCACATCCTTTGATTTTCCTTGAAAACTTAAGTATTCCATTCCAGCCAGATTTTTCTGGCCCTGGACAGACCCTTTTTGCACAGGATGCACCTATCAGGACAGCCCGGGTGGCTCAGCGGTTTAGCGCTGCCTTCAGCCCAGGGCCTGATCCTGGAGACCCAGGTGACTGGGCTGGGCTCCCTGCATGGAGCCTGGTTCTCCCTCTGCCTCTGCCTCTGCCTCTGCCTCTGTCTCTGCCTCTCTCTCTCTCTCTCTCTCTCTCTCTCTCTCTCTGTGTGTGTGTGTGTGTGTCTCATGAATAAATAAAATCTTAAAAAAAAAAAAGGATGCATCTATCTCAAAGGACAAGGCCTTTGCTGGGAGACCACTGGCAGAGGAGTGATTTGGAGACCCCACCTCTTCTTATACTGTACTCCATCCTCATCCCCTCTCCCTCTGAGGTCTCCTTCATTCTCTGACCTTTAGAGCCCTGCAGTGTGCAGCTGCTCTTCCTCATCCTGATTCTAGCTCCCATGTTGTGCCAGCAGTCCCATGGATCCATTCTTGGTTGCATGAGACACGCATTTGTGAGGGCATGCCACTTGCCTCCAATTAAACATGCACTTCAGCATTTATCTTCCTTCAGGTTGTTGGCATGGAGTGAAGGATGAGGCCACACCTTCGGAGCAGGCTGTTTCTATGAGGGTCACAGATGAGAACTCCCATTGCAGGTCTTTCCACCTAAAAGGCTCATCCCTGTGACATGTGTGACCCAGTCTGGAAAGACATCTTTGCACCTGGTTGAGCCACAGGGGACACCATCTGAGCAGCACCCAAACACCAATAACATGTGAACCGCTGTAGGAGAGACTTTTGGTGTAGTCTAAACCTTGACCAGATGCAGAAGCAGCAGAGTGGAGAAAATGTCTTCAGAAAGGAAAGGAGCCCGGCCTGATTTGTGAAAATATACAGATCTCATGTGTGGGGAAAGCCTTTACTTGCAGGGAGGATGGGAAGAACTTTATGGTCAGCTCTGGATTTGTGCAGTGCCAGGCCTCTCGCAGTGGGGAGAAAGCACACAGGGCTTTCTGTAGGGAGTGTAGGGAGGCCTTTCATGGATCACATTTTCTTTAGGCATGAAAGCACAGCCTGAGGCCATAAAGCCTTCCACTTGTTGGAGCAGCCTCCCTCCACGGTTGATTGACTCAGCGCATCTCAAGGGACTCTTGGTTGTGGGGACCTGGGGAACGACAAGGGCCATTGGAGATGCACTTGAGTCTGGGATACTTTCCCACAAGGAAAGTGTCCCCAGGAAGGTGAGCTTTAAGCATGGTGGTGTGGGGACAGCTAATCTGCATTTGAGGCTTTCACAGGAGCGAGTCTCAGGGAGGAGGGTGCTCTCCATGAACCACTCACACAGACCACAGAAAGGTTCCAGGGTCTATGCGAAGAATTTATACAAGTGGAAGGTTTAACAAACGGCATTGGTTGTTCAACATAAGCAGATCATGCTGAAGGGGAAGCCTTTCTTGGGAGGTTAGGCCTAGGTCAACACATAAGGATTTATAAGGAGTGCTTCCAAGTGTGGGAAGGCCTTCAGCTGCAGGTTAGAGCTCATGCAACACTAGCAGATTCACACTGGGAGAAGCCTTATGAATGCAAGGAATGAGGAAACGTCTGGGACGGCTATGCTTTTGTCCAAAATAATTCCGCCACCCTAGAGAAAGTCTCTTTAAGTACAAAGTATGTGGGTAAGCCTTTTGTGACAGCTGTTTTCTCATACATCTCTTAAGGGTCTTCCCAGGAGAGAAGGCCTGAGTGCAGTGATGTGGGAAGGCCTTCATTCACCATTTTTATTTCTGACATTAATAGGATCCATACTGGAGGAAAACCCTTTGAGTGTAAAGATCAGAGAGCCTTTTGTGACTGCTCTTCCCTAACTCTACGGGGAGTAACAGTGGGGAGAAACCGTGTGGATACAGTGAGTGTGGACACACTTTCAGGCTTCATTCATCCCTCACCCACCACCTAAGTATTCATAATGTGGAGAAACTCTGTGAGTATAAGGGATGTGGGAAAGCATATTGCAAGTGGACTTACCTCAGTCAACACCAGAGAACTCATATTGGGGAGAATGCAACTCCTGAGGAAAATGTTTGCCAGAGGAAGCATCGTGCTTGGCGTCTGAGAAATTATACCAAAGAGAAACCCTGTAAATGTTATCGTTGTAAGAAAATCTTCTGAAACAGATCCTCACTTACTGTCTCCTAAAAGATCCTATTGGAAGTTAACTCAGCTAGGACCTCACTCTACAAATGAACTTAAAAAGAAGAGAAAAATAGTGGTTAATTGTGCAGTTAACAAAACCTTCAGCTACGGCTCAGTCTCAGTATGTGCTGAAAAGCAATCATGGAATTTTTTTTAAAAAGAGAAAAGGCCTAAGGGAGGAGGAGAGAAAGAAGTAGATTTAACAGAAAAAGAAATACATTCCTTGTTTCTTTCAGGTTTCCCTGACAAACCTATGACAATTTATTTTCAGTTGTTTCTGTTTGGGGTGGCAGGTGGGAGCACTGTTTGAGAGGTGAAGGGACGGCATCCCTTCACGCGACTTACTATACACTGCTGTTCTGTGTCAGGAGAGCTGGACACCTGACAGCAGCTCTGCAGGTATTTGTCAAAATCCTTCTTTGTTGAAAAACACTGACTCACCATTAGAGGTCGTAAGTCTCTGTGATAAATGTGAAGTCTTGATTTATGAAGCATTTAAAACTTAAAAGAAATTAGACCACTAAAAATATTGTTGCCTAAAATTATTTTATATCTAAGAAGCTAAGGACAAATATATGAATGGGTATATTTTCTGCACCGTTTAAGACTATCTAAGGTTTCAGTCACTTATGCACTTCTTTATTGAGATATAATTAACACATAACATCATGTGAGTTTAAGGTGTACAACATTGATTTTATGAATCTATGTTGCAGTGATTGCCACTGTAGCATTAACTAAACACTTGTATCCTAGTAGTATCCTGTATTCTGTGCTCCTAGTGCTAGGAACAGTTAAGATCGAGTCTCCTGCCAAGTTTAATGTTCGTGATATAGTTTTGTTCCTCATAATATCTGTACTGTGTATTGGATCTTCAGGACTTATTTATCTACTAGTTGCAAGTATGTACCCTTAAACAACATCCCCCCACCCAAGCCTTTGGTAACCATCATTCTCTCTATTTGAGTTCAGTTTTTTTGTTTTTCTCTTAAGAGTCCACATATAAAAATATGTAGTATTTGTCTTTCTCTGTTTAATTTATCTCAGCATAATGTCCTTAAGGGCATTCTGTATTACCGCAAATAACAGCATTTCCTTTTTCCTCATGACTGAATGATATTCCATTGTGTATATACCACATCTTCTTTATCCTTTGGTGGACACTTAAGTTGTTACCATATCTTGTCTCTTGTGTACAAAGCTACAATAAACATGGGAGTGCAGATATTTCTGAGATCCTGTTTTCATTTCCTTTGGATATGTATATACCCAGAAGTGGGACTGTTGGACCATATGGTGGTTCTATTTTTAATTTTTTGTAGAACTTCTATACTGCTCTCCAATATGACTAGACCAGTTTATAGTCCCACCAACAGTGCACAAATGTTCCGTTTTCTCCACATCCTCACCAATACTTATTTCTTATCTTTTTGATAAGAGCTATTCTGACAGATATGAGGTGATATCTCACTGTGGTTTTGATTTGCATTTCCCTGATAATGAGTAATACTGAGCACTTTTCCATTTGTTGGCCATTTGAATGTCTTTGGAAAGATGTCTGTGTTTTTACTCTGTAGTTTAATCAGGTTGGATTTTTTTCTTGTCATTGAGTTGTATGAGTTCTTTATAAAATTTGGGATATTAACCCCATATCTGATAACGTGGTTTGCAAATATTCTCTCCTATTCCGTAGGTTGTCTTTTTATTTTTTAAAATTATTTCTTTTGCAATGCAGAAGCTTTTAAGTTTGATGTAGTCCCACTTATTGATTTTTTCTTTTGTTTGTGTCTTTGGTCTTATATCCAAAAAATCATTGCCAAAACCACTGTCTTAGAGCTTCCCTTGTTTTCTTCGAGGAGTTTTATAGCATCAGGTCTATGTTTAAGTCTTTGATCCATGCCAAGTTAATTTTTTGAGTGGTATAAGATAGGGGTCTGATTTCATTTCTCTGCATGGGGTTATCTAGTTTTCCAACACTATTTGTTGGAGAGACTCTTCTCCATTTGATGTCCTTGGATCTCATCAAATACGAGCTAATTGTATATGTGGGGTTTTAATTCCAGCTCTTTATTCTGTTCCATTGGTCTGTGTCTATTTTTCATGCTAGTACGATACTGTTTTGGTTACTATAGCTTTGTAGTTTAGTCAAAATCAAGCAATGTGGTGCTACCTGTTCTTTCTCATGGTTGCTTTGGCTATTAGGGGTCTTGTGGTTCCATACACATTTTAAGGTTGTTTCTTCTATTCCTGAAAAGTGCCATTGGAATTTTGATAGGGATTGTGTTGAATCTGTAGATTGCTTTGCATAGCATGGATGTTTTAACAGTAGTAGTTCTCCTCCAGTCTATGAACACAAGGTATCCTTCTGTTTGTTTGTGTCATATTTCCCCCAACAGAATCTTATATTTTTCTTTGTACAGATCTTTCACTTCCTTGGTTAAATTCATTCCTCGGTATTTTGTTGTTTTTTATGCTATTTTGAATGAGATAGTTGTATTTTTTTCCCCCAGATGTTTCATTGTTAGTGTATTGAAATGCAATTGATTTGTGTGTGTAGACTTCATATCCTACAACTTTACTGAATTCACTGATTAGCTCCAACAGCTCTTAGTTGAGTCTTTTGGATTTTCAATTTATAAGAATATATCATCTGCAAATAATGACAGTTTTACTTCTTTCTTTTTAATTTGGATACCTTTTAATTTCTTTGTCTTGCCTAATTGCTCCAGCTAGGACATCTAGGACTATGTGGAGTAAGAATGGAAGAGAAGCCTTCAATTTAAAAAAAAAAAAAAAGGGTGGCGCAGCGGTTTAGCGCCTGCCTTTGGCCCAGGGCGCGATCCTGGAGACCCGGGATCGAATCCCACATCGGGCTCCCGGTGCATGGAGCCTGCTTCTCCCTCTGCCTATGTCTCTGCCTCTCTCTCTCATTCTGTGTGACTATCATAAATAAATAAATAAAAATTTAAAAAAAAGCCTTTTTTCATGTCGTTTTAAACATCCAGCCTGCTCACTTTTCCTTGATCCAGATCTGCATTTTTCTTTATTTTCTCTGAGCCATCATAGTGATCATGTGATCATGTAGCCGTGCAGTCTTCCCAGGTGGGTCTTAAAACTTCCCTCTAATTGGGTTTTTCACTTTTTTAAATATCTTGAGGATCTTCTCCAACTCCACCTCAGTAGTTTTCTAGGGGTCAAATTAGGGCCAAAACAAACAGTAAAACACATTCAAGGTAAATTCATGATAAACTCTGAAAAAACAAACATGGATAAAGAAACCCATCCTTTAATCTTAGGAGAATGTGTGAAGTATTGTTATAAAGAAAAATGATTGGGGGGTGCCTGGGTGGCTCAGTGGTTGAGCATCTGGCTTTGGCTCAGGTCGTGATCCCGGGATCATGGGATTGGTTCCTATATCAGGCTCCCTGCAGGGAGCTTGCTTCTCCCTCTGCCTATGTCGCTGCCTCTCTCATGAATAAATAAATAAAATCTTAAGAAAAAAAAAAAAAAGAAAGAAAGAAAAGTGGAATTTACCTGTGGGTGAAGAGGTATACATACATGTACAGGTACATGTACTTTCCCATTTTCCCCTGTGGACTTCCTTTGTGTTCTCATCAGGCAGGGCATTTGGGAATATTCGCCTTCTTTGGGACTGTCTTTGAGGACAAATGTTGAACTGTATGAGGTGATCATAGTTCCCTCATGATAAAGAAAATTGCGTAATTTTTAATATAAATATAATCATTCTCACTTTGAGCCTCCTCAAAACCTCATCAATGACTTTAGGCACAGTTCTGCATCACAGTTGTGGGCTGAACCTCTTCTGTGGTGCCTTACCACCTTTCATCATTCATGTGCTTCCCCGTGAGTCAGTCATCACAATAGTTAACAATCTTTCAATGACAGCATGTATAGTTTTCTGTTACTGGGAAAAAAAGTTGCATTTCTCTGTCCTCTCTCGGGTGAGCTTGTCTATGCAGTGACCGTAGCTCTGTCACTGAGCTCCTAGGTATGTAAGGGTTGAAGAAACACTGCATGGTGTTTCCCCACCCGGGAGCTCTTTGGTACAAGGCACATTCTGAAGCCTGGGCCTTTGTTTGTCCCAAAGCAGTTGTGACATGCTGTCCAGTGGATCATGACCGAGGTTTGTACTCTCACCTCCTTTTTCTCACCATCAGACCTTTGCTTACGTGTTCAGTCAGAGAGCTCCCTGTGGCAAGAATGAGACCACGTGCATCCATCGTTGCACACCATGGGGGGTTAGGACACGTGGATGACTGAGTCATTGGTCCCGCCCTAGAGCTCACATGGGACATACATTAAACCGGTGAAACAAAGGATTTCTTGCACTGACATCAATCTGTCTGGGAACCCTGGCAGTATAAGCGGATTGTAATGGGGATGTGAGGACAACTATGGAGCACCAGAGCGGCATAGGTGTTAAGAGCTTGAAATTGCAATTGGTTGGGATTCCAGCCTGTCTGCACCATGCCCATCCCCAGCCACATGATATTGGTCCTGTCACTGGTCCCTGGAGTTCCTTGTTCTTGTAGAAAATGGGAAGATGAGCATTGAGGTAAAGCACACAAAGCAAAGCAGACCCTGAAAGGATGCAGGACACTCAGGCAGGGTTGGAGCTGGAGAACATCTGCCAAGTAACAGCGCATGTCAAGATGCAGGACTGATGAGTGGGAACCAGAGGAGGGCCACTGTGGCTAAGGTGGGAAGTGGGGAGTAGGACAGGGCAACATCAGGAATTGTGGTTTGTACTTACTTGTGAGGTTTCTATTAGATATCTAAGAGGAGGTATTGATATCTAGCTGGGTATGCAAGCCTGGAGTTCAGAGAAGTGTTTGGGTCTATGGGTACTTGGTGCCAGTGCCACCTGGCACCAGAAATGCACCTGACACCTGTAGTGGAACAGAGTGAGGTGTATTGATACACTGCAGTATAGGATATCGCCCTCATGGAAATGTGCAACCCTCAGGAAGAGGGTATTAAGATGTCTTCCAGGCTCTGGGTTTGTGCTCAGTGATTTGTAAGAGGGTTTAAGAAAGTGGAGATTTGGTCTGAATTGGATGTTGTTGGGAAGTGGGGTTGATCTATGATTGGCTATCCTGAAATATTTTATCTACAAAGCAGGGGCTGGAAGTGGCACCACAGCATCAGCTGGTAGATCATGTAGCTGTCACTGAGTCACCCAGGAGAGGTAGATACCTGGTCATTTCCATTGTTTGCACAGAGTTCTTGTTTTGTCTGTGCTCTGATATGATGATGGGATGGTTTTGTCTCTGTCTCAGTTTGTCATGGTCACTGAATGCCCTGGACTAAGGTTGGTGTTCTGTAAACTTGTTATGTTCAACAGGAGAATCCCAGGGTTTGGAGCTGAGTGCCAGACCAGCTACTAATGCCATGACCTGGCCCCCAAGATCCTCCTGACCTTCTCTTTCCCTTTCCAATCATGTCCCCTCCTGTGCCAAATTTCCACCTGTAATACAGATAGAAATTAGCCCTACACAGAGTTCTGGGAAGAGGAAACATCATACACAAAGCTCTGAGTGGGTAAGCATCCTGTGCATTGAAGAAAATGGAAGTTCAGCATGGGGAGATTTGAGGCCAGGGCCTGGGTATCAGACTAACTGAGAGGCTGGCCGGAGAGGCCTCCCAGAGGTGGTGAATTCTGACTTGGGACGAGCTGAGGGCACAGATATCCCGGTGGGGACATTGTTCTAGAGTGCCTGAGTGGCATTCAGAGATCCCCTTAGAGGTGACTGGGCTGTGGCAGAGCAAGGGACCTGATTCTAGTTTGGGCAGTTGGTCAGGGGCACCTGGAAGCAGATGTAGGCAGAGCACACTCAGACACGCCACGGAACATACACACTTTGGGAGCCAACTCTACTACACCATCACACACAGAACTACCAAAACTGTATTGGTGGATGTGCACATCCAGAGGGAGAGGGGAGCACACAAGTTGGGGAGGGGCAGACAGAGAAGCAGACTCCCCACTGAGCAGGGAGCCTGATGCAGGGCTCTATCCCAGGACCCTAGGATCATGATCTGAGCCAAAGGCAGAGATTTAACCGACTGAACCACCCAGGCGCCACTCCCTTATGATTTTTTTTTTTTTATGATAGTCACAGAGAGAGAGAGAGGCAGAGACACAGGCAGAGGGAGAAGCAGGCTCCATGCACCGGGAGCCCGACGTGGGATTCGATCCCGGGT